GGGGGTACGCGAACAAAAAAGGTTGAATACCACTGCTCTATACTGTAGAATGTTAAGGGCGGTTGATGAATAATGACAAGGAAAGGGTTTGGAATAAAGTGGTAGTGACATAATTCACCCGAACTAGAAATAACTGAGGAAAACCATGTAAATTTCTCAAGAATATATCAAGATATGCAGTTCATGTACAGAGGTATGATCCGCTGACCGGGACAATTATATCTGAGGAATGCTAACCACTCAGTCGTGATATTGAGTTATTAAGGATATTTGTTTATATAAAATTTTCATGTTTAAAATGATGTTTTCTTTGTTTAAGATGTTGGCAAACTCAAATGCCCAGACGTCGGATTGGCACCTTGGTGCGATGGGAGTCCTTCAACTGTTGAGAGCTTCGAGAATCCTTACTCTAGGCATAAGAAACCACCGTTCACATACTCCGAAATGATTAAACAAGCTCTCCTGGAGAAGCAAGAACTCACCGTATCCGAAATCTACCAATGGATTTCGTAAGTCGCCTGACGGAAATCAAATCTCTCTGTTGATTCAGTGTTTCGTTACACTACAAAATATGTGATTGCTTTAAAATAGATCTCATCATTTGTGTTCATTCTTCTATTTTTTTTCAAAATTTCGCTACAGAGATCACTTTCCATACTACGAATCAAATGATGAAAGATGGAAGAATTGCGTCCGGCACAATTTGACACTAAGCCAGAATTTCCAGAAAGGTGCCAAAGCACAGCGAGGGGCAAGTCACTTCTGGACACTTGAACAGAAACGAGAAAACATCGAGCCAGCTGAAGAGATTCTCTGTGGAGACCGAAATAGTGACCTCAGTCCCATCACAGAGGCAACGTCTCCAATCGAAACAGGTATTTATTCACATATCTAGAATTCGGAACGAATCTCCTGCTTAGGAAACATGTAAGGAGCCAGCGTTCATTGGTTCTAGAACAGTGGTTTTCAACCTAGGGTACGCGTACCCCTGGGGGTACGCGAAGACATCTTAGGGGGTACGTGAAATTTTTAAAAAAATATATTATTTTATGATAAACACTGAATAATCAGTAATGTAATTTATTTAATTGATTTTAGATGTAGATTATATACTATGTATAACTTGAATTATACACCAACAACTTTGGGGGTACAAAATTGGAGAGAAATTATATCTGGGGGTACGCGAAGACATCTTAGGGGGTACGTGACATTTTTTAAAAAATATATTATTCTATGATAAACACTGAATAATCAGTAATGTAATTTATTTAATTTATTTTAGGTGTAGATTATATACTATGTATAACTTGAATTATACACCAACAA